CGTGGCCATAAACACAAGGAAAGACCCAGTTAGGTCCCACCTGGCTCAACTGCTGTGGTCAGTCCCGGGATTAATCCCTGTGCTGTATCCCCAGGCCTACAGCCTTTACTCGGGCACAGCTCCCATGGACTTCAGGAGTTTTGCAAAGTAAAGACAACAAGAGTGTGATCTAGTCTAGGTAATGACCCAAGGAACAAGGATGGGAGAGGGCTGAACTCTGCAGTGGTTTTTGTAGGAGGGGGGGAACAAATGTCCCTACATATTTCTCCCAACCACCTGGGGAAGTTTGGGGGGCAGGGAATTTGTTACAGCCTGAAAGTGGCAGGAAGTATTCTAGAGACAGAATCTAGAATCTCTGAGCCTCATCCTGCTCTCAGTTACCAGTGTAAACCCAAAATAACTCCTGACTCCACTGGAGCAGCATCTGACCTCTGTGATCCCATTGATCCATCTCAGCCCTGGCTGTGCTGTTAGCTCCACGCATGGGGAGGCTCCGAGAGCTGCCAGGGGATATTACAGGAGAGGGGATGATTCCCACCAGAAATGAGCAGTCCCCGGTTCTGCAGTGTTCGGCTCGGTCCCCTGGGATCGTTCTCTGCCTCTGCTGGAGTCACCGGCCCCAGATGGGATGTTTTACAGGAAATATTTCCCACTGTTCCCACAGATAAATATAACGTTCTTTGCCCTGACCCTGTGGATCCTGAGAAACAGTCTCTCCTCCCTCAATGCAGATGTGTCCACCCTCAGAGACCACAGGTGAGACGGCAACAAAACAATCCTGGAGGGTCAGATGCCTTGGTTTGGAGGGTCCTTGGCACTGGGAGGGTGTGAGGGATTGCAGGAGGGGAACAACATATCTAGGATCCATGGGAACAAATTCCCAGTGTGTTTGCATTGACAGTAACCCTGTCCCACACAGGAAAGCCAGGGACGGTAGCTCCACCCCACTCTGCCCAGATCCTCCTGACCCAATCGCTCTCCATAGGCTTATTGTAACGGGATCTCGCCATCTGCCTTTACCCAGGTTACTGACCTTTAAAGCCATCGCCCAGCTCTTCATTCTGGGCTGCACATGGAGCCTTGGTCTCCTCCAAGTCGGCCCAGCAGCCACGGTCATGGCGTATTTATTCACCATCGTCAACAGCCTGCAGGGAGCCTTCATCTTCCTGGTGCACTGTCTCCTCAATCGCCAGGTAATGCCCCCGGCCCATATGTGCCCACCCAGCACCTTCACCGGCCTCGCGGTGGCCATGTCTGATCTTCTCAGCGTTAGTTACATAGTGCAGTGACCGTATCCCTCACTCTCCAGGTGAGAGAGGAGTACAGGAGATGGATCAAGGGATTCCGAATGTTCAGCACGAAATCTCAGACATACGATCTATCCATGTCTGCTGTCCCCACCACCAGCACCAAGACGGTAAGAGGTTCTGTGCTCTGTTCCAGTATCAGCCTGTGACACAGTCCTCTCTAGCTGGGTCTCATCACTGCTGTAAAGGTGCTTTGCCCCCCGAATGACTCAGGATTGGTTATGAGTCAGCTGGGAACATCACTGCAAGTGTCAGTGAGAGTCGGTCACTATTGAGGAGTATCCTAGATGTCTTGGGCACCAGAACAGAATGCCCTGTCCTGGCACCTCCGTGTTCCCTTCCCTTGGCTCTCCTGGGAGCTCCAGGGGTCACTCACTGTGGACTAGACAGGCATTGGCTCTTGCAGTGTAATGATCTGAATAGATCAGATTGTCCCCTGGGATTGAATCCTTGTCAGTGCAGACGGATCATCCCCAATGAGCAGTCAGCACCGTGAAGAATTTCCCTTGGCTCCATTATCCCTATGGGTCAGGAACCAGGGGCTTTGTGTGTCTCCTCCCAGAGACAACCCACCAGTTTGCACATTACGCTCTCAGTGGCCTTGGAACCTATTGTCATTTTTCTGCTTTTCTTGCCAGGACTAACCCTTCTGCCAGGCGGAGTCGGCAGCCACCAGGGCCGGGTTCAATACCTAGGGGTTCCAATACAAAACCGAACCGGCTGGAGCCCCCTGTGACATTGCACTTCATATGCTTTATGGAAATATGCTTATGAATATGATATAACTGGAATATACTTTACTCTAAACACCCCTTGCATTGTGTCTTTAGAAAGTTTGTAATCTACTAAGTGTGTTCATCCTATTTGTTTGCATGTATTATTGCTGTATTCGGAGTTAGGAGAATAAGATATAACCTTGTATCACTGATGAAAAACATATTAAGTGGAGGCCATTAAGGGTGCTCCAGAAACACTCAGTTGTAAACAGCCTTAGTTACTTGAAATCCTCCCTGTGTACGTGTGGGCCAGCCCATGGGGAATGGAGACTAGGGGTCTTAGAGTGACATGTACCCATGTCACCTGATAATGAAATCCATCTTAAACCTGGTACTTTTCCATTTAGAAGGAGGGGTGGGGACTCAGAGAGATAAGAGCTTCCCACCTTATGCCAAAGCTATAAAAGGGGGTGGAGCAGGACAAAGCGCTGCCGGTCATGAGAAAACCCCTACTTACCACCTGAGATGTCTGCTGGAACTAACAAAGACCGTACCAGGGGAAAGGATTGGGCCCAGACTAGGAAGGAGTCTGTGAAAGAAACGTATTGGAACATCTTTGAGGGTGAGATATTACCTGTAATTAGTTTCTTAATGTATTAGGCTTAGACTTGCATGTTTTGTTTTATTTTGCTTCGTGACTTACTTTGTTCTGGCTGTTATTACTTGAAACCACTTAAATACTACTCTTTATAATTAATAAAATCATTTTTGATTATTAATAAACCCAGAGTAAGTGATTAATACATGGAGGAGCAAACAGCTGTGCATATCTCTCTATCAGTGGTATAAATGGTGAAAAATTTATGAATTTATCCTGTATAAGCTTTATACAGAGTAAAACAGATTTATTTTCGGTTTGGATCCCATTGGGAGCTGGGTGTCTGGTTGCTGGAGACAGGTAAACTGCTGAGCTGTTTTTAATTAAAGTCTGCAGCTATGGGGGTGTGGCCCAGTCCCATGGTCTGTGTTGCAGCAGGCTAGCGTGTCCGGCTCAACAAGGCAGGGTTCTGGAGTCCCAAGTTGGCAAGGAAAACAGGCTCAAAGGTAATTTCAGCACATCAGGTGACAGTCCCAAGGGGATTTCTGTGACCAAACCCGACACACTCCAACCCTGTAATCTGGGAAAACTTCAGACCACCCCAGGTGCCTCTAAGAGGCAATACATCCCCTCTCACAAGCACTGAGTCTGTGTGTAACAAAGAGAACTTTTAATAAAAAGGGAAAAGAAATCTGGCATTAATTTGGGAAATAGGAAAACCACGATTCGAAAGCTTGTGCCCATGAGTAAGGCAAAGATATTTTTAGTAAAAGTCATGGACAGGTCGCGGGCAATTCACGGAAGCCTGTGACCTGTCCTGACTTTCACTAAAAATATACTGACAAAATGGAGAGGCGGGTTCAGCTCAGTGCCCACTGCTGCAGGAGCTCCGGCTCCCCCACTGCCGCTGCCCCACTTCAAAGTCTCCTGCTCCCCATGGCAGCTGAGCAGTTGTGTGGGGAGGGGTCCCACCCCCTGCAGCAGCAGGGAGCTCCAGTTCCCCATCACCTGCAGCAAGTGGGATGTCTAGGGTCCCCCATTGCCAATGGGGGGCTCGGCTGCTGCAGGGTCCCCTCACTCCCTACAGCAGCTGAGAGCTCTGAGCAGTTCCCCCCTCTTCCTGCCATGGCTGGGCAACTGCAGAGGGTCCCCCACCACCTGCCGCAGGGGAGCTGGGGACCCTTGGTGGTGGAGATGGCCTTCCTCATCCATGCCACCATGCCCCACACTGCCTCCTTCCACAGCATCAAGAAGACAAGCATTGCGGCCAAGCTCTGCAGGGAGGAGATGGGCCCAGGCTGCGGGCCCTCACCAGGTAGGGCCCAGAGCAAGCGTCTGGGGGGAGGGGTGCCCTATGGCCTTTCTGCCCCATCAGGCTATGGAGCTCCCCACCCCCTGGTCATTTCTGAGGTGGGGATTCCTGCCTTTGCCCTTTCCCTCCCCTGCACCCCACTCACAGCTGCTGTCCTTGGTCGGCGAAGGCCCAGAGTTCAGAGCATTCATGTGAGTTCAACTCCCACCGGAGGGCTGGGAGGTGGGGAGATGGCATCGAGAAATTCCTCGGCTGCTGATGCTGCCACCACCACGTATACAACTGAGGTCTGGTCTGAACTACAGACCTTAGCCCACGAAAGCTTATGCTGAAATAAATGTGTTAGTCTCTAAGGTGCCAGAAGTACTCCTGTTCTTTTTGCAGACCTATATTGGTATAACTATATCGCTCAGGGGGGGTGAAAAATCCACACAAACCAACCCCCTGTGCGAAGTAGTTATACCAACCTGACCTCCTGTGTAGACACCGCTGTGTTGGCAGGAGAACTTTTCCCACCGACACAGCTACCACCTCTCGGGGAGGGGTGTGAGGAGGAGGGGTGTGATGCACATCCACCCCAAAACCGCAGCCCCTCCTTTTAAACGGTAAACCCAACCGGCATTGCTTACTATGAGAAAGGAGGGCGCTGCAGTTTGAAACCATTCCCACATGTCATGAAGGCGGAAGAAGCCAACCCCATGTACCCTTTGGCTTACCATGGCTGCCTGGAAACCGAATTTAGTTGCCCAGCCGTGTGTGATGTGTCACCATACCGGCAGATGCTCAATATAAAAGGCAAAATGCGACCTTATATTTAAAGCACAATTGCTGTCTGCTGTGAATCGCTTGATTCACTGTGAAAGAGTCTCTCTTTTGTTCTCAGAAATGTATCTTCTTAAATTCTACTCTTCCTTTTTATCCCCCCTGCAGGTGCAAATGTTTCTATGCTCCCTGTAACATCTCCGTCTGAGGTTATCGCAGATTCGAAGGTGAAAAAAACGCACTTGCGATGACACATTTTCT